TTCATACCATTGCTGAATATCTGAGGGGTCGGAGTCGAGGATGGAGGCTGTGGCGACTTCGGGGAAGGGCTCGAGGGTCACGGTTCCCTGCTCGGCAGGAGGAGGGTTGAGGGCCTTGTCGGCCAGCTCGTTGATCCGAGCGGGATCAAAGTTGGACAGCTGGTGGAAGAGCTGTGACTTCTCGACGGGGGTCAATTCGTCGACAAAAGTGAAGACATGCCCTTGTCCAGCGTCTGTGTATTTCTTTTGTAGTGCTTGGAACTCGTCCGCGGAGGGTTCACGGGGAACCTCTGGAGCGGTGCCATGGAAGTGTCCAAGAACATTGTTGATAGCATCTTTGATTACGCCGGCCATTTTGGAGGATATTTTGAGATTGAGAGAAGTAGAATAAATTGGGAGGAGAATGAGGAAGAGAAGGAAGGAGAAAAGTAACTAAAAATTAGAAAACGTGGGGTGAAGCTCAAGCTGATTAAGTACCTTTTAGTGAACCTCCGTACACTCCAGTTTGCTAATAATATATCCCAGACTATTAGGAGTCTAGTGGGCTCCAGTTTATTTTTAGGGATCTACGAGGGCAAATATTAACGAGCTACCCATACAAGAAAGTCGCTAGCGAGCGCCGGGTGAGACCTGCCCACTGGAAATTAATAGGCTAGCTGAAGCGGGGCCTTGGCTTACAGGGGCGAAGTTGAGTGGATATGTTCAACGGAGTATGGTGCAAGTTGTGTTTATTTGAATAGGGGATATTTGACTACTATCGTCCACGATGATTGTAGCTTCGTTCTTTTCGTGAATCCCTCTGTGGACTCCGACTATAGGATCGACGACGGTATCGATCCTGTTCACGACGGGGACTTCGACTCCCTCGATCTCGACGACCGCGAGTGCGGTCTGATGGAGCCTCCCGAGGAGCCTCGCGGGGCGGAGCTGGAGCGCCCCTGTTCTTGTTTCGTTTGTCAAACAGATATCTAGCATCATCCTCATCTATGGGCGCCTCGTCTAGCTCTCGGTATTGTCGTTTCGCTTCAAGGTCGGCAACACCACCAAATCCACCTCTCTGTCGGCGCTTGGTGACGGTGGAATTGCGCCAGCTTTCGGATAACTTGGATACCTGGGATGTATTAGCAAATTTGTCGTAGGGAATGAGCGGTGATGAGTACTTACACTCTGTGAGAAATCCACATGTATCCGGTGATCATCAATTAAGACACCCTGCATCTTGAAATAGGCCTGTTCACAGGCCTTCTGTTCCTCGAATTCAATAAAGGCATATTGTAGACTGTCGCCAGTGCGCTTGTCCCGAATGACCTCGCAAGACAATATAGTTCCAAAGCGGCTGAAAATAAGATTCAAATCCTCATCTAGCATCGGTTAGCATAATTTCACGGTTCCGTGCGGGAATGCGACAAACCTTGCGTGACCGGGTTGAGCTTGCAGACAAAAAGAATATTCTCTGGTGGCTTGACGTCGGCGAACGGCAGGTCTCCCACCATTTCCAATGTCAGCGCCTGCGCGCGAGCCTCACGCTCGCGACGCAGCTTGTCCATAGCCTCTTCATCCATATCATCATCCAAGTCCTCATCGTCCGCGATTCTGACCGTGGCTAATTGGGCCTTGGAGGGCACCGGGCTTTCAGGTGGTTCAACTAGATTCGGCGGGTCATCAAAGGGATCATCAAGGACAGTGGTGTGACGGATGCGAATATCCTTCAGCGGTCGACCTCGGTCGTCAATGAAGGATTCATTGATTTTCTCTAGGACATCGAAGCCCTCGACGACCTTGCCGAAAATCACGGCCTTGCCATCTAAATAATCCAGATTGTCTCCAAGTGTAATGATGAATTGACTGGCGGCTAGCCGTTGGTCGGGGTCGTTCTTCGCCGGTACCGTCGCCATACTCACCGTGCCGCGCTCCAAGTGTTTCAACGTGCGCGACGCCTGGAGCGGAAATGTTCTTTTCGACGGTCCATCCAGCAGACCCCAAACCGAAGATCCTCCATCGCTCTCAGGTGCATCAGGGCCGAGCGGGTCGCCGGTCTGGAAGGTGAAGTTCTTTTGGACGCTATGGATGGGCGAGAAATTGTAGTACTTGAGCTTGCATAGCTTCAAGAAGCTAAAAGCACACAAAATGAGCTTAGTTTCAGGTTCAGCAGACTGGGAAAGCCAAGGAATGGAGCCACTCACTTGTCACACGCCTTGGGTGCATCATCGACCAACAGGTCAATTACAATGTCGCCTAGGGAGGTCTCTAAGAGCGCGCTCATGGCGGGGAATCGGGTGCAAGATACCGAATTAGGCGCTTGGACGAGAACCTTAGAGGGCAAACTAATTTCGTAATGAGAGAGGTATGAAGAGGTGTAGGGAGAGAATGTAAAAGCCCGAGAAATGCGAAATGCACGAGAGAAGATCGTCGGAGCTTCGACCAATCACCGCCCGCGGGGATCCCCAACCGGAGGGAACTGAGCCTCTCGCAGTGTTGTCTTTTCTTTGCTTTTCTCTTCTCTCCCGATTTTTCCAATAAAAGGATTCTTGCACGAATCTACCGATGGGTACGTGCTGCGCAACAGCTCTAGGGCTCTCCGGATGATCGACCCGGGAGACTTGTGAAACGATGCTTGTCAATCGAGCGGCATATCTTCCGAATGTCCGCGTTGGGCCATAATGGATATAACCTTACGCTTTTGAGATCGACGTGCAGCGGATCTTATTAAGGGCCTTGATCGACCCTGGGATTCTGAGATTCTAGGTTTGAACTGTTTGTGTGCTTATATCCCTCATGCACCAGCAGGCCCAGCCAAAAGAAGCATCTCTTCTTGGCAGAAATTCAAGCGAGTAACTGACTTGTCACTGGCCAAATCCTGGGAAGACCAAGCCACACCCTGTTGTGCTGTCTTGTCTTTTATGTATCTCTTTCCCCACTAAGATCATGGCACCGTCTCGCAGCTTCCACGGGAAGTACACGGTCCTCCTATTGCTAGGACAGCACCAGCTTCCCCCGTGAGCCGTTCCACAGCAGAAACGTTGGGAAAGGGAAACGGGCGGCCTCCTGCATCATGATCCAACGGGTATCATCACTATGACCATACATCAACTTCTGGGAACGAAGCACACACGTGGGGTAGGATATGATCAATCGTGAATAAGCCTCTTACCCAGCCCAGCCACTTGCCCTCTCTCGATCTAGGCAGCTACGGTCAGCAGCCAGGGGTTGCCTCCACCGTATCGTCTGCAACAAAAGCCAGTCTCAATCCCAACATATGTTCCTGGCGAGCCAACTTAGAGTCAGCTGGCGTAGCCAGGGCTTGTTTCTCCTAACTCTTCGCAATTCCTACTTCCCCCCGGATGTCGTGCATCGTCAAACCTTGAACTGCCGGAACTTGTATAAACACCTGCTGGAGACTCCAGGTCTAGATTTGTATTTGAAACCCAGACTTTGATTGCCTTCCCCACTGTTTTTGGTTTCTCTTTCTCTTTCTCTATGTCTCTTGTCGTGTCCTGACACCGAATGTCTCAAGGTGGACGAGTTAGAACCAGGGTTTACTATACTAATCTTGGAGAAACCCCTTCTAATTATTTGCCCCATGTCATACCCACTTCTCTCCACATCAGCTCCAAGTAGCAATGTGCGAACCTTGCAAGTGTCCCAGAAGTTCATGCATTCCAGCACTTCTAGATCCCCCTTTTAGCCTTTAGCTTTAGCGTCGATCATGATCAAGATCTGGTATGGATAACACAAGCGTACTTACATACACTGGGTAAGTACAGCGGACTGTTCTCATTTTATGGGCCTGATTTGCTTTTTTTCCCCCTTCCATTTCGATCTAGCTGCGTGCCGGAAGCGCTAAAGAACGCTGAATCGCCCCCCATGTCGCCGATCAGCCTTTTAGATCGTTGATCCCTGGACTTTTCTAGAGCGCGCTTGGCTCGGGGCCAACTCGTGCGCTTGTCAAAGTTGACAGGTGTCATGAGAGAGATTTTGCCTATATTTTCTTTTTCCCCCTCTTCTCTTTCTCTATTGAGACATTTGAAGCATCCTAAGACAGGCGTTTGTTTTCCTTTTGATATTATTTTTATTTATTTCTCTAGGACGTGCGTTTGCAAGATAACAAGACTAGGTATATGTTCCAGACCTCGACAATGTCCGAGTTCAGAACGGGCTATTTTGACCTGCAGCTATACAGAACTATCGAGCAAACATTTTCCACGGGACGTCGGGACATTCTCCCCCGCGGTATCTGCAAACAGTAGCTCGGCAGTCGCCCGTTTTCTCTATCTCTTGGAAGATGAGATACACCAAGTTTGAGGATCTTACTACTTCCTCTTCCAGACATGACGAAAAAAAAGAAAAGAAAGAAGCCCTTCAAATTGGCTGAAACACTACCTACCGGAGCACTTTGTTCTCGTCATGGCTATCTGGTCATGTCCGTGTGACGTTACCTTGTGAAACCTCTTTTTAAAACGCCGGGGACATTTTCTGTCTTTCATATATGGGGGTAACTGGGGGAAATCTGGACAAGCGGAACTTTGCATATCATTTTCCCCTTAGAAAAAAATAGAATAATAGAATAGAGATACGAGATGGTAAAATAAGAGAAATAAAAAGTGAGAAATAAGGAATAAGAAAAGAAAAAAGAAAAGAAAAGACACCAGGTCCAGGGTACTTTTGGCCTATGTACTTTGTATGTCTTCGCTCTACCCAAATGGATCTAAACACACAGCCAGCATATATAGAATAATAATAAAACATAGATAGAGAAAAAAGCAGGGGGCAAAAATATCGCATCATGTCGATATTATGAAAAAAAAAGGAAGGCAATCAATCACACCGATTGTTACCAAAACATGGCTTAAATCTAGCCCTATTTCCCAGAGACATCCTTCATTCTCTACTTTTCTATTTCTTCTTTTCATAAACACTTATAGGCATTCACAGTGCCCTTTTCCTTTGAATCTCCCCTACTCTGCTGAACAGCGAACGGGTTATTGTTCTTTGCTATATCAATGGATCACACATACGACCACATGCCCGGACTAGACCAAGTCCGACGCAACTCGACCATTTCTATGGCTCGGTCAATGCGTGTGGCCAAACAGGAGCGCATAACTCTCGTAGAGCGAGAGGAAAAGCCACGGAAACAGAGGAAGCGAGCCCTAGTGGCAGTAAGTGTTCTCTCCATCTTGATCACCCGGCCACTTCTAACCCTCCTCCACTAGTGCAATCGATGCCGAAAGAGAAAGATCAAGTGCAACGGTGACCTCAACAATGGGCTTGCCTGCTCCAGCTGCCGTAGTGTTGGAGCTACCGAATGCCAGTACATACGAGTGAGTCTTGAGTCTACAATATCTACAGCGAAAGAGTCACACTGACCTAGTTTTCTTTTGATAGGTCAACTCTTTGGCCCCCGAAGACGCTGCTAGAGAAGCAGCTAGATTTTATGGAACCAAGGGTTCGGGAAGGTCAATCCTCATGGGCTCCCCTCAAATGCGGGTTCCATACCAGCGAGAAGAATACGAGCTGGATATCCCCTCCAACTTCTCCCGGCAACACGTCGGCATGGACCACGTTTATGACAATCAGTCAGCCCACTACCATGGCCAGACATCGCACGGGTACATGATGCCTAGCGTTTCGGGAGCAATGCTCGACTATGGCACCGCGGCATGGAGCAACCGCGCCTGGGATCTCAATGGTAGACCCAACGGCGAGTTCTTCGAAGAACAAAGCAACCATGCTGCATATGGCTTCGTCCTCTCAGGCCAAGGCATATCCCCCGACATGCCCCAATCAACAGGGGCAATGACAGTGTCCTACACGGATGCCGTAGACCGCACCCTCCCAACACCCCCAACCTGCCGAAGCCAACCCCAGCTGCAGCCAAACATCAACCTGTCAACCCTGCCAGACGGCCTCTCAGGTATGACCCTAGCCTCAGACGTAAAGAGCTGGAACTCGCGGTACGCACCCTCCCCAGACGGCCGCACAGTACCAATGCACACCATCCCAGGAAACGGTCTCTACAACGTTAGCCCCCCAACACGCATTAAGTCAAGCGACTCAGACGCGGGAACACCCGACCTCTTCGGATACGTCCCCATGTCCACTGCGGACGGTCACTCCCCTATTCCTTTAGCCCCATGCTCCATGGCCCCCTCCGCTGCAAACCCCCCCTTACCCGGCCCTGGAAACGATAGAGGGAACTCTCGTGGGCGAGTACAACACGTCCGATCCACGTATGGGACGCACTTTCTCCCGTGATAGCGACTTAGGACGTCGTCTTGTCGTGATGGATTCCAATTGCAGCCCCGATGTGTATGGGTATGTGGGCGGTGATCGCAGGAAGTCGAGGGTTGCCGAGACGGAGGTGTGCTGCTCGGGGCCGACGCTTGTTAATGGTTTGCCATACAACCGCGTTCGACATGTGGACTCGACGGTTGGTCTGCCCTGTGATTTTTTAGCTGAAGACTTGTCTGATTATGGGCGATCGGTTGATAGTCTCCATCGTTCTCCTGTTCCACCGCTGGGACATCAGGGAGCATATTGAGTTGAGTTCAATATGTCATTGGTGTCATTGTATCGCTGTTATACTTGCCCATCGAATTCTTGGGCTTTGATTGTTGATTCTTTGGTCTTCGCTGTTTCCTATTCTCTTTCCTGGTCAGTCTCTTTGTCGTTTCTTTCTTTCCCACAAGATACACAAAAGAGATACCCATATCAAGGCCGTTTACATCTGCCTTTTTTCCGCCAACACTTAATGTCTTTCTCGCGTCTGTTTATGTTTATGTTTCTGTCCTATTCTGGTTTATTGCTCGTTCTGTCCTCTTTTTTTTATTTTGCCTGTGTTCATCCAAAAGAAAAAAAAACATCCAATGGGGGATTATGATGAGATGTCCATCCTGTCACACCCATCAAGATTACTCCCTAATACCACAGAGTGGCTTTATGCAGTGTTTATATCTGTGGTTCAGTTTCCGTTGCAAAAATATGCTTTTGTTTTCATGCCATGTGTGTTTAGTCTTTCGTGAAATGACTTTCTATTGTTACTATGAGGAACTCTCCACTGCCCGTGATATGTGTTTCAACCAGACGAATGACTTGGGAGAGCTTGTTAATTCTAGTCTTCTGTCTTCTAGCAATCCTTCCAAGCGTGTTCCTAATTTGCCTTCTATGGTCTATTCGAAAGTAATGTCTTTTACAACTTACTCAAGTATTTTTATCTCAACCTAGCACCTAATACAATCAGATCCCCTGATAATGCAATACTTATAATTAACCCCATCCCCATGTATCCCCCATCCTCAATAGTCACAAGCACGGGCTAGGGCTATCCATATACCCATGTGCCCTCCGGGATCCTTCTTAACCAGAAAGTAGCACATAAATCTGTACATCGACGGACTCCTGACTTCCGCCCTTGGCTAGGATGCAGTGATACAATGATCCAACCCACAATGGCGTATACAACCCTGACATGGGCGTGTCTGGGTCCTTGACTCGGAAATCCTACGGTAGCAGATGCGTATCTACATATCGCGTCAGACGACTAGTATCCCGGACGGAACAAGTCCACGTGGAATTAATATGTGGTATTTCCATATGGGAAATGAAAATCTAAATGGGAATATTTCAGGAAAGGGAATTCGTTCTAGGTTGTGTAATCTGTCCCATCGTACAAGCGATCTAACCCGAGGGATATACTTACACAGCCTCCCGCCGGCTGGTTTGCGTTGCTTCGAGGCCTTGTCATTGCTAGATGTAATGGTTTGGTTTAGGAAGTTGTTCCTGCATTGTATGTATGGCTTTTTAACTCTTTTTTTGAGTCGGATAGAGTGACTAGTTCTCTTCTAACTAGTAACTAGGTACGTCTTTTTCTTACTAAATATATCTGGATGGGATAAATAACTAGCTAGTTAGTTAGTGCCATGACTATAACCACAATTAATCACAAGTGTTGGATTGTCCAGGCAATGATCAGCTGCAATTTAGCTGTTATAGTGTGAGACTTCGCTCTGAATTAGGGCTTTAGCGCCTCGGACAATAACTTTCAAGTTGACCATGTAACCTAACTAATGCTTTGGCGGAGTATTTTCCGAGATTTTATCTCCGAAATAACGAAATTTGATTAGAATGCTTCCTGGGAAATTTGGTTCTTGGGGGATCAGATTGGGCTTTTGGCCAAGGGGCTGCCATGATCCTTTCACTCTTTTTGGGCTTTACGTATTGATATAGTATTGGCATTCATTGATGTAGGCAAGAAGAGGGTTAACTGTTATTATATCAACCGTCCGTTGTGTCAAGTATGTACTCCGCATTTGAAGCATATAACGTGGAGGCATGGCTTTATATAGACCAAGCTTCGACTACACCGCAGAGGTTCTTCACTTTACAGTCTCCAGATCCAACTACACTAGATCTAGACATCATGGCCCCGTACAAGAGTACAAGTCCAGTCTACAAGACCGCCAGACCGAGTGAAGAGAAACAAGTAAAATGTAATTTCATCCCGGGCAAACAGCCGAAGCCCGGATTCTCATAACCCTGGCCGTCTTCACGAAGACTGATGATCCCCTCCCCAAAAAAACATACAAACAGAGAACCACAACAATGACGCCCTGTTTTAGATTTCCATGGGGATCGTCAGGTCTTTTTTTTTCTCGGGAATCACCAGCTCCAACAAGCACAGGAAGAAAAAAGAGTATCCACGATCTTCACCATTCAACGGGCATCATTTTGGGTTTTAGTCTGATGTTCGCTGAAAAGGAAGATAAACCACTCCCCCCACACACGACCGACCGCACCTGGGCCCAGACAAGCCATAACCAGGTGGGAAACTCCAGAGCCAAAGCCGTCACCGCCATAATCTTTCCCATCGCGCCATGCCGCATCATCGGTCCATGTTGAATCGCGCGAATAGTTACAGATGAGGCGTTTAATCCTTGCTCTTCTTGGGGCCCTTGACCTTGGCGATACCGCGGAACTTCTTGGAACGGTTCTTCCGTTGCTTGCCTGTAGGAGGAGGTTAGCAAAAATGCACATGTCATCATAGTTTGCGATTGATAATCGCAGAGACGAAGAGAAAGACATACGCTGCTGGCGGGAAGCCTTCTCGATCTTGCTGGCGGCACCGATACGGACGAGACGGTAGTGGGGCTCGAACTTCTTAAGGGCCTCGGAGGAGTCGTAGACCAGAGCGAAGCCGGTGCTCTTGCCACCACCGTACTGTGTGCGGAAACCGAAGACGGAGACCTGGTCCTTGTTGGACTTGTACAGATCGGCCAGCTTCTCACGGAGCTCGTCCTTGGAGACGTTGGGGCGGTTGGGGTGGAGGACGTCCCTAGATATTCGTGAAAAGATGTCAGATCGGGGTTTTCTGGCTTTTGGGTTTTCGATGCTTGATTCTGTGTGTGTTGCGGCGGTCCGATTGTATTTCTCTTTCTCTTTCTTTTGTGCTGGGTGGTTGTCGAATTTCCATATTGCGCGCCTGCGATGCATTTCCCACACACAGATCCAATACGAGGGGGAAAATCAGGGGGGTTCTTACACGACCATCTGCTTGCGGGCAAGCAGAGGGTTGCGGATGAACTTGCGAGTCCGCAGAGTGACGGGAGAGTCGGCCATTTTGGTGTGTGCGTTGGATGGAGGAAGTGTCGACGGGGTCACTGGGGATGTCGAACTTTCAATTTTCGTGTGGTGTGGGCTCGGCTAGGGTAGACGCTAGCCTATTTGAGCTACGTGCCTCAGGCTTAGATGACTAAGTAAGTTTATGCCTGAGGCAGAAAGTATCGATCAGCCCTTGCTTATCTCATTCCTGACTCATCCACTCTCCTCCCCGGGCTCCAATAATATCGATCTCCTGTGGTATCAAATTCATTCATTAGTTTTCATCCAACCGTCATGACCGACTCTATTGATAAATTAGCGGCGCAATACTTCCAGCTGGTTGAGCTCCAGCAACTGGACCTCCCACCAGGCCCTGTGCTGATTCAGCCAGCTGTGCAAGCAGCTCTATACGAGCGCATGTTCAACGAAAATGCAGTCTTCCCCGTCCCACCGGACAGATACCGAAGCCGAGTGCTGAAACAGCTTATATCACGCATCGAGGAATCAATTATCAACCCCGAGGAGGATGTATGCCTGTCCACCTGTTTGTATCCTGCTATTTTACATTTTGAACTTCCTATCTTTTCCTTTTCTATCCCATATACATCCACCTCACACCAATACAAAACCAAAACCCACTTTTATATTCCTTGATTCCACCTATCTAACCTCTGATCTCCCCCAAATACAGGAGATCAACGATGATCTCATGGAAAGCTGGAGCACACTAGTCTCACAGCCGAAACCCTCAGCCCTGCAGCAAGCGCAGCAGCTGTCGTTAGTCAAGTACACAGCGCCAACATCCAGCGCGGGAAATTGTCCCAAGCGTACCGTCACGACCTCTGAATCGCGCGGCGTGATTCTGTACGCTGGAACCACAGGTAATCGGACATGGGAGGCTGCTCTGCACCTCGGTTCGTTCCTGGCGTCTGAGGCGGGCGAGGCTCTTGTGCGCGGTAAACGCGTTATCGAACTGGGTGCTGGCACGGGCTTCTTGTCGTTTCTTTGTGCACACCATCTTGGTGTGCGCTCTATTGTTGCTACTGATCGTGAGCCCGCACTTATTGATAATATTCGTGCTTGTGTCAGGCATAATTTGCATGGGCGGGAATCCATTCCTATTTATCCTGCTGTTTGGGAGTGGGGAACTCCGCTGGAGAAGGTGGGGAATCTTGCTGGATTGGGCTCTGATGAGGGTGAGGAAGGGACAGGGCTGAAGTTCGATGTTGCTCTCGGTGCTGATCTAGTGAGTGTCTTTATGAGCTGTTCACTTAGGTTTTTTGCTTACATACCTAGGTTTATGATACCGACCTTGTTCCCTCACTCCTGTCTACTGTGGAGGATCTTTTTGAGAACTATCACATTGAAGAATTTATCACTGCGGTTAGCCTGCGCAATGAAAATACTTTCCGCACGTTTCTAAATGCCTGTGGTGAGTCTTGAAGTTCATACATGGACGTTGATGGTCATGCCTTACGCAGCTAAACATCAACAGAAACCAACTCACTCGCTTTTGAGGCCCTCCCATTCGAATCGACACCAGCAGAAGACCAGACGGGTTTCTTCCATTCGACCAGCATCCCGCTCCGGACATATCGGATTTCGCGGTCGAAATAAGCAACTTGAACTGCGTTTACATCACGAGGCCATGAGTATGAATAGGGAATGTGATATCATGTAAATGATTCAAAAGTTAGTTATTGCATGAAACTTGTTGCCACAGTATATAACCAGCTCCAAGGGAACTCCATGGAAAACTGTTCAAGTTGATTATCTTGACAAATAAAACTCCAACTGTCTCGAGGCACTCAACGAAGTGTATCTATCAGTCCCTTATCAAAATCCTTCAAAAATAAATATAAAAGACATCGAAAAAGACCACTCTAAGCTACAGGATCCTGTTGCAAAATACACATTGTGAAAAGGACCAAAGAGTGTACATCATATAATATAGATAATTCTAGGAAATCAAAGATGAAAGCATGGGTATCATCGCAGCTCGCGCCATTCCAACCAGGAATCCAAGAAATGCAACAACCAAATGAGGATGCAAAAGTAAACAAAAGAAAAGTGAATGCAAGATTAAAACGAGTGTAAACGCTAAAGAACAATGAATGTGCAGATATTTAGACCGCGAGGAATCTAGCTATTCTCTTCAGCTAGACTCTCTCGCAGCAGGTTCTCGTCTATGCTTTCTGCATGAATAGAGATTGGAGCAGCAGGTGGAGGGCGCAAGCCCATTATCGGACCCTTCTGGTTCACACCTGGGAATCTGAAGCGGTGAGCTAGCGGGTCACGAGGTTTGGGCTCGAACGCAGAAGGCAACGATGTTACAGATGTGTTCGATGAGTCTGTCGGATCTTGCGAGTCACTCTCAGATGAGACCGGTGCCATGCCCCAGCGGCCTAGGACCCAGCCTCCCACGCGGCGACCGAACTTAACTTTGTCGGGCCCATGAAGTGCGGTTGAGCCGGTGCTGGTGCTGTCGGTGGATACAACGGATGCCGTGTCGGACTTCGTGTTGTTTCCCGCAGCCATGGAAGCAAGCAATGACTGGGATGTATACTCTGAGCTCTTTGCACGATCGGCTGTGACGGCCGGAGTTGAGATTACCGGGGGTGTTAACACTAGTTCGACACTGGGTGACAAAATGCGCCGAGGGATCCGCATGCCGGGATGCCAGTCTCCCATTCGCTTGTGGCGACTTGTGGGTGTATGAATGTCCATCCCAGCAACGGAGATGGAGAGCAAGCTGTCATGGGAAGAAGATCTGCGCAAGGAAGATGGCTGTACATGCATAGTAAAAAGTTCATCAGTGGTCGTCAGTGGCTCGCCCATAGGCGAGAAGTATGACATTGGTGGAGATGGTTCGGATTCCTCAGGGATAGCCGGCTCTCTTATGAAATTATCCCCCGTGTTAAAGAAGTCTTGGCGACTGTAGAAATCATTATCAAATGCAGATAGATCGTCGGGTGCATCGTGATTATCGAAGCTACCGACTGGGCGATAATCAAGACTCTTCAGGTTCCGTGTCTGCATCAAAGGGGAAGAGAATACGGTGCTATCAGGGCTGGTAGACTGTGAGAAATCAGGGCCACGTTCAACACGATCAAATATCGATGACGTCCGGAACGTGGACCGAGGAGAGCTTGCCAGCGAATCCCCAGCACGCGAGTTTGAGGACCAGCGGCGGGAGGATGAATAGGGTGGGATGGAGACAGAAGTTTGCGATATAATGGTTGACATAGAGGACCCAGATGACTGGGAGCGATGAATGGCTCTTCGAGGCGAGTTGGCCCGCGTTGCAGAATGCAGTACTACCGGGCTTCCCATAGCGGCGCGGCGTTTCTTCACGCGACGGTTGAGCGTGCCTTTTTCCTTCTTCGTAGTTGGGGCTGGGGTTGGTGTGTGGAAATGATGATGGATGTGCAATTCCTGAGAGACGCGTCGTTCTTCCTTCGCTCGTAGCTCCTCGCTCAGCGTGATGGGAGGCCTTGGCTGTGCATTGTCACCATCGACGCCGGCCAGGGGCTGATGAGAGATAACCTGTTCCCGTAGATTCTGCACTTCTTCATTCGAGCTTTGAAGCATGTCGCGTAGCTCCATAATCCCAACCTGCAGATTGGCGTTGTCTTGCAATATGTCCTTGACGAAACGAGAGACAACGTTTGTACCACCCGCGTTGCGGTTGAGTTCGGAGGCGGCGGCGGCAGCCTTGAGACGTCCCGCTGCATTGTCTAGCTCGCGCTCCACATCCCTCTTACGTTCCATGCGCTGGACGAGCTCAGTATGTCGATCCCTCTCCTCGCGTGCCTCTCTCTCGATGCGGTCAACTTGATCGTGAAGGTCTCGCAGCGTAATCTCTGCTTTTCTCCACCGTTGGACGGCCGATTTCTCGTCTTCCTGCACCGACATAAGACTTTCTTGGAGCTTAGACTGCTCCGTCTCCATGAGAGCTAGTTGCGCCTCAAGCTCTGCGGCCCGCGTTGCAGCCACTGTCAATCTTCGCAAGTCTGACTCGGTTTTCTCCAAAGTAACCGTTAGGGACTTCACATGGTTGTCAGACTCGGTGATCGCTTGATTCAAACTGTCAAGTTGCTCTAATAAACTGCGATTCTCTTCGATGATGCGCGCATTTTCTGCTTGAACTTGTTGCTTTTCACGTTCTAGATCCTCAATGCTGCCGACCAAACGATGACGATCCTCTTCCGCTTCAGCCATATAGCTTTCATGACGGTGGAGCAAGGCCTGTAGGGCAAAAGTCAGTGATGATGGCTCCAAACATTCTGCCTTGACAGTATAATCATGAAAGGTGGCCATGACGGACGCCAACACAGTAAGAGAGAATGGGAGATTGTGATCCAAGGGTGGCCATTTGATTCCAAATCATGTGGGGTGTGCACAAGGTATGCAGAATGTGCAGTCCGAGTAGTTGAAATGAAGAAGTAAAGGAAAACAGAAGAAATGAGATACAGAGTGTTCCGCGAGGAATGAGGATAAGCTGATGTATCGAATCGAACATGCATGGTTCAGCCAGCCTCCAAACAGCTTGGCATGTTGTCATACCCACATGATTTGGGCAACTAATTCGAAAAAGAGACGTACCTGACCTAGCCTAGCAGCAGTCGCCAGGTCTTTCTCTAACCCCTCAAGAGCTACATTGTTATGCTCGAGCAAAGCACAATCATTGTGGCCGCAGCAGCAGCGTAGGGTGGTGGAAGCGCGTGAATGGGTAGGAATGCTGAGATCCTCATAGTTATGTGGATCCATGTCAAGAATGTGGCCCCTTTGGGGAGCTGAGTGTGTGGAGAGGACTGATCATCAGAAGATTTTGTAGGTTCGAGGTATCACAGACTACTCCGTATTATCGAGTCCCTTTAATTCGAGGAGGCGAAGATCGATGGATACCCAAATTTAGCCGGGATGAGATAAGCCCCCCGGGCCCCAGGGTTCGCGAGGTCGCGAGGCCTTACCGCTTTTATATTGCCGGACCTCACCGCCTCTAAGTATAGAATGAA